CCCCCCCCCCCCCCCCGCCCAACCAACACCAACTGGAACTGGGCCTGGAGAAAGGAAGAGAACCACTGTAAAATGGTGAAATCCCTATATAAAGAATTTGTTTGCAAATGACTGCTACAGAGTCAGGTAGAAATTCATTTTATTTTATCTATGTTTTCCTTAAGAAGCTCAAAAGGATGTATACAACTTTACTTTTATTCTTACAGTCACCTAATAGCTTAGGCTGAGTACAGAGAGAACTGACCATGCAGGAACTGAACTTGGGTAACATTTGTTCTTGTATGTCACAAATTACTACATCACTCTACATAAATTTTTCTTCCCTACATCCTGTGATCTTTATGCTGTTAAACACCTCCAATTACTGTGATATGTATTTTTAAAAAGTAAATGCAGGAGTATCACCACACAATTAACATATCTACTATCAGCACACAAAATTCACTAACTTGAAAAAATAACTGGCCAGGAACTGGCCAATAATTGATCAGGTTCTATCTATTTTTGTTAGATATAAATTTGATGTCACAATTTAAGAAATTCACAATTCTACAGAAATAATTTGATTACAAAGTTAAAAGTCTTAATTTCAAAACTTAAAAATAAATCTAGTTACCAGACAGCAAATACACTACACTGTGAGAGAGAGAGAGAGAGGAAAAAACCTATCTACATCACTCTTGTTATTGCCAATAACATCCAAATAAGCAAGAACAATTCATTTCCCTGTACTTCTTCTTAATCACTTAAGGTTTCCCTTCATGTGACAGAACAAACAATCTGGTAAATATGTCATAAACAAAAGCAACAGAAAACAGTTCTGTCAGCAAAATCTCAGGATAGAGGAACAACTGTTAGCAGAAGGCAATATTCTGACAAAAAAAAAGTCTGGTTTTCTTTTATTTCTGTTTTTGCTCAAGCAGTTTCTTGGGGAGAGGATTAGTGTGAAATTTATATTCTTCTTCTCTATTCATCATTTCTATACACAGGTTTATAGGCCTGGAAATTTGGTTTCTAACATTTCATCAGTGCTATCAACCTCCTCATATTTAGCTGATCCCACAATTTTCAGATACTATTTTATGCCCAATATTCCTCCAAATATCCACTTACTATTGCTGGACTTCAGATCCCGGTGGATAATAGGAACAATTGCTTCCTCGTGCAGATAGTTCATTCCTTCAGCAATCTGGACAGCCCAGTTCACCAGAATGTCTGGTGGAATCCTTTTGCCAGACAGCACTCTATTTAATGAGCCTCCACGGGCAAACTCCATAATCAGACAAAGGTTTGGTTCCTTTAGACACACACCTTTAAGGGCAATTATATTGGGATGTTTTAGCATAGCAAAGAGCTTGGCTTCTTGATGGACATTCTCAATAGCTTCACTGATGTCTTCATCTGGATCATAGCGAGCTGCCTTGACAGCAACTTCATCTCCAAACCAAACTGCACGGTAAACCTTCCCAAAACCTCCTATGCCAATGATTTCCTCCAGAATCAGCTCTGAGAAGTCAACCTCCAACACTAGGATACAAAAGGAAAATATCTAAGTTCTACAAAGATTATTTACACAGTAATTACTGTCAGCATCATTCATTTACTAACATGATTTAACCTTGACTTTTTAAGATAAGGAATTGCTGAAATACTTACCTAGTGCAAATATGAGTCAGCTCATTTTGCATCCTTACCACTGCTACAAATACTCAGAAAAAATATATTAAATCAATTTTGTGAATGTGTCTGAAAAGACAGATTTAATTTAAATTAAATATAATTGAATCATTGCTCAGAAAAACTTATTTTAATTATTAAAATCACAATTTAAATTACTTCCCAGGAAGATGTCATTTATCATCATGTTCTAATAAAATTGCAATATTGTGCCTGAAGAATGAAGATTTTATTACGGGTGGACATTTCATTTTTAAAAGGTAGATGCATGCTTGCCAATCTTCCTGATCTTTAGTGGCCTGAGATCTATGGCTTCAACCTCAGAATGTTCAGTAATGACAATGCAGGATATGGAATTCTGGGCTTTGCAATCCGCCCAAGTGAGGGAAAACAATTTAAGGAAAACTGGACTATGCATTAAGAAGCAATTGTTTATTCTATTTTTTCCAACTAATTTTAATTTAAATTAGAATTATTATAATAAATAAAACAATCAAAATAAAGTAGCATTGCTACATCTTGGAAAATCACAACACAGTGAACCAACTCTACAGTATTTCTATTTATCATGGATATCTGAAAGATACTTTTGCCACAATGTGCTAGATCATCCTCAGATCAAAGGAGCATTCACTTACAATGAAATAAATATTTTCCAAGACAGCATAAATCTATTATATTCATGTTTACTTTCACTTTTTATTCCCCTTCCATCCTTTGCATTTATATTTACTATAATCTCTCCTTTTCTGGATCCACTTCATCCCCCCATTCCCCAATTCTACATTATTTAATTTCTTTGACTTTCAAGGATGCGTTAAATGAGAGAGAGGGAGGAATACATTCTTGACTGTGCTTTTACACCATCTGCAGATTTGATCAGCTCAGTTATCTCTTCTCTCCATATTGTGCAATTAACATGTTGATACAACTTAATTAAAAGTTACTATTACATTCACAAAGATACCTTGGAGCTAGGTTCATTTTTAACTGTTACCTTAAACATTTTTTAAAAATAATCTACCCTTTATAAAAAAAGTTTATTATAAGCTCTCCTACATAAAATTTTCAGGAAAGAACAGAGCATAGAACAAGGATTTTTCCTTTGCTACTGATCATATATTCCAACTTTGTGCTAAAGACTTCCTGAAATAAGAAATACTGATGAGAACATATTTCACAGATATAATTGATATATACAGTAAT